CGGGTCCTCATCCCCTTTGAAAAATGTGAAATGTGGGATGCTGAACTCGAGTGGAGGCTCTGCCTACTCGATCTCGTCCTTGAAGGGTGACCTGCTTATGTTGGTCATGTTCCGTCGTAGTGCCTCGTTAGTGACCTCATTGAGTTGGAAATTACACAATCGCTTGGTCAAAAGTCTCTCTACTTCTTCCTAAATTTTCCTTTGTTGAGGTAGTGGAGCTCTCGACTGCCCCCAACCGTGACTTGCTGGTCTAAGCTGTTCTTTCATGTGTTTGGCTTGTCTATGCTGCGGATATGGTACGTGTAACACATTCCTAGCAGGCGAGCAAGTTCTTCGCAAGCTACCGGTTGAATTTGAGCTGGATTGAGTGACTGCTTCTCTCTGTCCGTCGTGCTGCCTACTCCGATGTAAGGTGGAGGATGTTTCTTGCAGGCTTAGCCACAAATGAACACTTTGCCTAGAAGGTTGCTCATGGTAACTATCAGAGTATGACCCCAACTATGAATGTATGCTCGTCTATGGGCCTAGTCGAGAATGCACGTTCTAAGACGGGAGTATACGTTATCTCGGGGGCCCAATCGAGAGTGTACACTGCCTGAACGCTCGGTTCGTGGATGGTCGAGTGGCTGCTTGCCGGGGACGCTGCTGGAAAGGTTCTTTGTCTGCCGTTGTCCTACTTCGACACACCTCGTCTGGGGCACGTTGCATCTCGATGCGCTACAAGAGCTGGTTCACCAAGGTCATCTGCTGTGCGAGGGCCTCATCAACTCTATGACTTGTCGAGACAAGTGTTGTTCTCCATTTGGGTTGGAATAGCTTGGAATGAATGCGTCTTCTTGAGCAATGGAAGTGTGGTAGACTCCAGGAGCGAGATTTGAGTTAGGAAATGCCAAATCCGTAGAAAAATGTAGTGAAAATGTTCCTGGTTCGATCGTCAATCTGGAAATTTAGAGATGGGATAGTTGAACTAATCTTGGATCCATTTGGGCTATTTGGAAGGCCATGAGAGTAGACTGGGCTACGGAAGCAGGTTGGGCCACGATAGTGGGCTGCTCGGCTGGAGCAAGATGGGCCATGGGAGTGGGCTGCTCGGCTGGAGCAGGCTGGGCCACAAGAGTGGGATGCTCTATAGGAGCAGGCTGGGCCACGAGAGTGGGCTGTTAGGCGAGAGCAAGCTGCTCCGAGTGTGATGCACTTTGGTGCGAGGCTTGGGCTCGACTTGGCAACACGTTGAGTTCGCGTTAGGCTTGGAGTGACATGGCTTATGCCGTGAGCCTTGGATGGCACGGCTCGAGCCGTGGTGAAGGCACCATGAACCTCGCCAGCGGTGGTTACTGTGGTGGAAACTTGTGGTGGTGGTGCCACTCTACTTATTGTCGCATTTAGCCCCGTGGATCGCTGTGGTCCCATTCCTTGGATATTGGAATTTTCACTCGTGGAATTTTCTAAATTTCTAACCATTGTATTCTTCTTTTACGTTTTATCAAAGAATCTTTGCAAATAAAAAGTTCTAATAATAAAAACATACAAAAAAATACACGTACACTAGAAAATAGAGAAAAACCTTTTTTATGTGAGAGTCTTCTATGAGTGTGGATTTCTTCCCTCAATGAAAGCACCAATTTGTGGATGCAAATTTCTTCCTCCTTGATCTTGGACATAATTGCACCTACAAAACAATTAACACCTTGGGTCAAGGCTAGACCAAGCAGTTTCTGACACGACACGGTGACATGACACGAAAATAACGGGTTTCGGATCAACACAATAACTTATCGGGTCATTATCTGGTGACCCGTTAAGAACCCATTAATAACGGGTTCTTAATGGGTATACACGCGGGTAACACGTGGGTAACCTGTTTCGACCCGTTAAGAAAATATTTATTTTGATAATTTTAAAGTTTAATTACTAAAAGATTTCTTATAAAATACAATAGCCATATTAATATATACAATATATTCTATACTAAATATATAGTTTTGTATTATTATTCTATATAAGTTTTAAAAAAAAAGTTTTAGTCATTATTTATTTTTATTATGAGAGTTCCTTATTACCATTACTAGGATAAATTTTACTTAACATGTTGTTGTCCAAAATTAAAATAAACTAATATAGTATTTGTATAGGAAAGAACTAAGAAGACATACATACAAGTATGAAAAATGAAAAAGAATATATAAACACTCGTGATTTACGCTTACATTATCGTTTAGATTTTTAAAATCCTCCAAACCTTCATGAATAATGTTTTTTATTTGAGGGAAAAATTAATAATAATTATTGTAAAAGCGTAAAAAATGTAAAAAAAATATACAATCACTCATAGTGACAAACTTTACAACTTTCATGAAGGGGTCAACTTCGAAATCCAACACTATAATTCATAAACCTTAAATTTATATTTAACCGTCGATTGTCATTTACGCTTTATTTTTCTTACTGAATTTCATTTTTAAAATTTTCTTTTTTGAAAACATGATCATATGGCGGATGTAAGAAGATGAACGGTTCAGATCTTTGATATCACATTACGATATTTACGGTTAACTGAAATATGAGTCGATGTCATATAATTTGTAGAAACTTTATAAACATCAAGCAATATTTTCACTAACCGTAAAACTCTAAATATAATATCAACGATCCAAACCGTTCATCTTCCTGCATCCTCTAATAGATCAAGTTTTCAAAAAAGAAAATCTGAAAATACAAAATTTGATGAGAACAATGAAGCATAAATGTAAACAACAATCAACGGTTAAATTTTGATCTATGATTTATATGATTATAGTGCGAATTTTGAAGTTAAGCTCTTCATGACAGTTATAAAGCTTGTCATTACGAGCGTTTATGTATTTTTTCTATATTTTTTTACACTTCTACATTAATTAAAAAACTATTAAAGACTTTAGGTAAGTGAAAATATACTTAAAAGAAAATTGTGTTTTATGTTTTGGATGTGACAATATGATATGTATATACTTATTTAGTATTATGTTTTTCATTTGATTATTTATTGGTTTAAAATATATTATCCTTAACGGGTAACGAGTCAAGTCATATTACCTGTTAATATTATCGGGTTTCAGGTCGGGTCATTTTACCCGTTTATTTTAACGGGTGTTACACGACACGACCCGTTAAGATATCGGGTATGACACGAAAACGACACGAACACGGAAAACACGACACAAATGCCAGGTCTAGTCAAGGCCAAGAGCCTCACGCGCCCACGATGACGGGGGAGCTTTGGCCAAAGAACCTCCGATGCCAAAGTTAGAATTTAGAGAGAAAAAAGTGTTTGAGAATTCTAGAGAATTTTAGCAAGAGTTGGAAGTAGTTTTTGGGAGAGAATGGTGAGCTATATATAGGGATATGGCCGGCCCTATTAGGAGAATAGGGATCGACCATTTATGTATTTTTTGGGTGTAAATTGTGGTTAATTAGCCATTAATAGATTAATTAGGTAATAAATCTATTAATTGACTAATTAACATATTTTGAAAGAAATTATTTGGGGAGTTATGGAATGATTAAGATAATTAGCTAATTGATTAGCTAAAAAAGGGAAAATGAGGTAAGAAATACATGGAATGAAATAGGTTTTGGGAGTTACCTTGGAGAAGGGATTTGATGTGATAGGTTTTGAATTTACCTATTTTGGGCACTTTTGACTTGGTTGAGGGATGATTACCCGCTTCTCGTGCGTAGGAATCCCGTTATGCCTCAAGGGTATTTTTGTCTTCTTTTGTCCAAAAATTCTCGTGTCGCTTTGTGATTATTTTTTGCTCCACAATAACAACGGGTGCAGTGTAAAAGGACCTGCCTTCTCTACCCTCCCACTTCCCATACACTTCCATCCCCTCCTATTTGTGTGGTCACGGTTAAGTCACGTCAACATTTTATATTACTATTACTTTTTATCTTATTATCTCTATAAAAAAAATTAGGGAGACTTTGGATGCGGTCCCTAGTTATGAATAATCTTTGACTGAAACTTTGTTGGTTTTCAATTTTTGATCCAAGTCCCTAAAATTAATTGATAATTTATTTCTATGTACGTTACTATATTTTTTAAATTAAAAATTAAAATTTATAGTTGTTTATAGTAATGAGATTTTAAATAAAAAACATAATTTGTGGGATTAAAAATATTAAAATATAAATATACTATTGTGTGTGTGTGTGTGTAAACATGGGTACATTCATAAAAAATAACCAAAAAATTATTGTATCAAAACATGGGTACATTCTTCAAAATGGGTACATTTAGCAAAACTAAAAATGGGTACAAATAAATAAAAAAATATGGGTACAATACAAATAAAACTTTAAAAAATATGGGCACAAAAAGAAATTAATATATGGGTACAAATTAAAATTGAAAGGAAAATTGGTACAAATTAAAAAAGGGTTGCAAATTAAAAATGGGTACAAACTAAAAATAAAAATATATGATAAAAAATTTAGCCATAAATATAAATATACTAATTTTAACATTTTTAATATTAAATGAATATATTTAGAAATAAAAAATATTTTATTATTGAAATAATTAATGATATTATTAATACAAAGGACCTTGATCAAAAATTGAAAAGTAATAAGGTTTTAATCAATAGAGTAGTAAAAATAAGGATGAAAACCTAATTACTCCAAAAAATTAATATAAAATATTAATGTAATTTAACTGTGACCGCACAAAATAGGAGGAAATGAGTGTGTATAGAAAGTGGGAAGGCAGAAAAGCCGTGTCCAGCGTAAAAACCCCAAAGACAGTCGCACAGGGACATACCATATACACGCATATTGACTGATTCCAAGAAGTCACGATGAGGGACAAAGGTTTTCTTCGTTCACAAGAGCGTGGAAATTTCCAAGCAACTAAAAAATTTGTCTTTCCTTTCTCCTTTCACTCGGCCTCCTTTTTGCTTGATCATTTGGCTAACACAGGCCATTCCATAATCATCTGCTATATATATAATGTTTGAAACCTACGTAACTGCAAAACATCAAATTAGTACCACATAGAAACTTGAACTAGCTACCAGCTTTGAGCTATTCCTATTTATTTGGGTAGCTGGTAGTAGCTAGTGTTATTAGGGTTAGGGTAGAGGCAGGGAGATCGAGAGACAGATGCAATGGAGGATTTACCACCTGGATTTAGATTCTCTCCAACAGAGGAAGAGCTGATTTCGTTTTACCTGCAGAACAAACTAGATGGGAGGAGTGAGGACTTGAACCGAGTTGTGGATCGAATCATACCCGTTGTCTACATTTATGAGTTTAATCCATGGGAACTCCCACGTAATTTAACATCTCTCTCTCTCTCTCTCTTTCTCTCTCTCTCTCTCTCTCTCTCTCTCTCTCTCTCTCCCTCCCTCCCTCTTCCCCCTCCCTCCCTCCCTCCCCCCTCCCTCTCCCTCCCTCCCTCCCTTCCCTCCCGCTTTAATTGTTGGATTTATGCTAGCTTCTGGCTTGCTTAACTCAAGGAAAATGTTGGTTTTAGTGTACTGAATATACATTTGATAATTTTAACATGAAAATTCCATATGATGCATACTTAACATTACGAGGCCAATATGCAAGTCTCAATCAGATTTTCCCTCTTTTGGGACAATTGATAGACCAAGAAAAACGTGATATATGAAGCTAGCTAAGCTTAAGATGCAATTTTATGAAAGCATTTATTTATACATGCATATGCAGTGCTTCAACTATTGTATTTTATAGTTGGTACTATACTTTACATGTACTTCAATTAATTATGGTTACTAATTAAACAGAGGCTGCCGGAGAGGTGATCCATGGAGATCCAGAGCAGTGGTTCTTTTTCATCCCAAGACAAGAAAGTGAAGCTCGAGGAGGGAGACCGAGACGACTCACAACAACTGGGTATTGGAAAGCAACAGGATCTCCAAGCACTGTTTACTCTTCCAATTCCAATCAAAATCGTGCCATCGGCCTCAAAAGAACCATGGTTTTCTATACTGGCAGAGCTCCCCATGGAACGAAAACGGAGTGGAAGATGAATGAATACAAAGCCATTGAAATTCATGCAGATGATAATAATCAACCATCAATGGCCGCCTCCTCATCAAACCCTAGTACTCCTTCTACTCCCACGGTACGTACGTACTAATTAATTTCTTAGCTCAAACTTAACATCATTTTTTTTTGGCCTAATCGGATAAATGGTCCCCGTGGTGATAAGGTATTCGGATGATAGCCCCTGTGGTAAAAAATTCGGATTTAAACCCATGTGGTCTAAGTCTATTAGGATTTATGCCATTCTGTTAAATAATGCTGACGTGGCTGCCACGTGGTAAAAATAATAATTTTTAAATTTTTTTTTAAAACCTGAATTTTTACAAAAAAAAAAAAAAAAAAACCCAGAAACTCCTCCCGCCCTCCGCCCGTCCCCCCCCCCCCCGCCGCGCGACCCTCCTCCCTCTCCTTCTTCCTTCTTCTTCTTCTTCTCGCCGGTCTCCCCGCGCGACTCCTCCCTCTCCCTCTTCCTTCTTCTTCTTCTTCTTCTTTCTTCTTTCTTCTTCTCTCTTCTTCTTCTTCTTCTTCTTCTTCTTCTTCCCGCCGGAGACCAGCTCCCCCCTCGCCGGAGCCCTCTCCCCGTGCCCTCCTCCCTCTCCCTCTCCCTCTTCCTTCTTCTTCTTCTTCTTCTTGCAGATCTGGGTTTTTTTTTTTTTTTTTTTTTTTTTGTAAAAATTCAGGTTTTAAAAAAAAAAAATTAAAATTATTATATTTTTGCCACGTGGCAGACATTTGGCAGCCACGTGGCATATATGTGGCAGCCACATCAGCATTATTTAACAGAAGGGCATAAATCCTAACAGACTTATACCACAGGGGTTTAAATCCTAACAGACTTAGACCACAGGGGTTTAAATCCGAATTTTTTTACCACAGATCATCCGAATACCTTATGACCACGGGGACCATTTATCCAATTAGGCCTTTTTTTTTTAATTCACAATTTCAATTATTTGCAACAGAATGATCTAGGTTTTCTAACGACATGTTTGACGAAGATCTACATTTATTGTCTGACGTTTATGTGTTTGTGTATATGTATAATATTCGAGAGATTACAAGTGAATGATTTAGTCCATCAGCTGCAAGTTGCACCATATATATTCAAAATATGTATATGTTCTAGATTGGGCACACAAGAGGACATTTAGTTAGTTTGTAGAACGACACCAACAAGGACTGAACATGTCAGTGGTACCACAAGGCCACACAGTTTTTAAGCGACTTCTTTGATGGCTTACGGCATTGAGTTTTCAGTGCAGTTAATTAGCATCTAAACCAATTTAATTAACAATACTTCATAATTCATATTAATTATATGTTGATATATGTTGGCATGTATGCATGCAGTTAAGGCAAGAATTCAGCTTATGCCGAGTATACAAGAAATCGAAATGCCTTAGGGCATTTGACAGGCGACCTCCAGGGATTGAGATCACAAGAAACCCTAACTTAAACATTCAAGCAGCTCCTGCTCAGGCTGCAGATTTGACAACGTCGAATAGGAACCCTCAGAATATGGAAGGGAGAACAAACTCAAGCTCACCGGAGAGTTCACCCTCAGGAGGCCATGGCTCTCAATCCTCTCAACCAGAACAAAGTGGGACTTTGCCAATGGCCGTTGATAATGAAGCTATTTGGGATTTGGATCAATTGATAAATCTTTTGCTTTAAGGGGTGGATAGGAAGAAATACTAAGTAGTACGGTATTACCACGTTATCCAAAATCCTTAAATAGAATGTCTAGCTACTAAGAAAATAAACTAGTGTGCGTGTGATCATAATCACTCATATGTACTTATGTAGGGTTTTATCACTCTAAGGTAGATTAATTGTACTGGAATTGGGGAAGAAAAGCCAAATTCAAAGGCTATTGTAACCTATCTTGATCCGTTTTGCTTCCTTTGTAATAAACAATTGGGTTCTTTATCTATTGTGCTTTCATATGTATGTATGTTAATTTCTTGGACTACTATTCTGTATAACCTTGAAAGTTTGCAGAAGTGATATCAGAATTTATCACTTGTTTGAGATTATGCATGTTAAGTTTTTGTATGTTGAGGAGGTTAAGTGCGATTTTTAAATGTGAATATGTTGTTGATTGTTGATACCTATAATCTATTTTTGTCAATATGTAGTCGATATTTTATTTAAAAGTAAAACCCTAATATAGAATGAATGTATGCATGTTTATCAATTATAAGATTAGTTAAGGATAATGCTTGTGTTTTCATCATGAAAAAACTTACTTGTTCTTTTACTTACGATTAACGAACTTTTACCATTCGAACATAATTATCGAAACCGGTCATTCTCTTTATCACCTAAAGATGCAAAAAATCTTTCAATTTGGAGATCGTTAGTCATCCATATGTGTTAAGCCAGTCAACAATTTTGGTAACAAGTAGCATTTTCATAATGAATCATCTATTTGTTATATGCATATGAATGGATATAAGATCTCCACATTGAATATTTTTTTGCATGTACAACCTTTAAATTATGATAAAAAAAAAAACGAACGATTCTAATTATAATATTCATATGGTAAAGATATTCATTAATCGCAAGTGGGGGACAAGATTTTATTAGAAACACAAGCATTATCCATCAATTAATATGAATGTTTGACATGAATTGAATGGATAATCTTCCATAAACCACCTAACAGTACCACCAAAAAAAGATATGTACATCATATAATTGCTTGCGGTTGTCACTGGTATGACAACAAATCAAGCGTTATTTCTTTCTTGTTTCTCGTTGAATAGAATGAAATACATTTGAGTTATCAAATAAGTGTCAATTTTTTTTATTTGTTCCTTATTTCATATAACACACTGTTGAGAGTATGAATTCTATATTGGGAAAAAATAATGGAAAAAAATAATATTACATGTGTTTATAAATAATTGACTACTCCACATATTTTCATGATTTTATGGTGGAACCTCAATCTCTTTCATGTTATCAGAGCAGGTTGACTCATGTATGAAATCCAACGGCCACACGTGTTTCATGTCACTAAATTTGTATTGTCCACGTGTTAGGCTTAAAAATTCGCACACGTGAGAGCGTGTTGAGAGTGAATTACATGGCGGGAAAAAAAATATTACATGTGCTTATAAATAATTAGATTATTTCCCATATTACAAATTACTAATTACTTTTTTTTTTTTAACAAACGATAATATCTACACTAAGGGGGAGGGGTGGGCTTAGCCTCACAATGGACTAGCAATAATGTGGTTCAAACTCGCATTTGTCGAGAATCGAATTTAAGACTCTCACTTACAAGCGAAGAGGAATACATGTAGACCGTAGTACTAAGTGACACCAATTACCAACTACTTTTATAGAAAATTTGTTTTTAGCCCAATTCAGCATATTTCAATGAATTTTGAAACTGACTACGATACTTACAGGTGTTTAATACAATCATCTAACAGTCAAGTATATTCATGTCAATATATGTATTTTATACAATCATTACTGACCATGAAAATAATAAATATATTACATACATGATAGTATTGTAGTCAAATTCTGAATTTTAATTTCTTTGTTTTTTATGGTTTGTGTACGTTTTTCTTCAACATTTTTGTATGTAACAGTTTACATCATTTAACCCCTTGTAAGAAATGCACGACGACGACGTTCATTTGTCATTATTGTAGACATTATTTCCATTTTGGATTTAACACCCCACAAAATGTTGAATGCACCACACATTAAAATTTAATATTAAATGACTTATTTACTCTATTATGCAATGATAATTTTGACCTTACTAGGTTTTAAAAAAAATAAAGATTTATAAATACACCCAAAATCACTTTTAGCGTATTATTTATCTGCTCAATTATCAAACATGTTGATTAAGAAAAATTGTTTTTGACGAATGGAACACGAAATCGATGTTTCAAAAGCTTCACATGAGGTAAGACTTCATAGTTTTCATTGTTTTAGTGATTTCGATGACATCGATAATTATTTAATCTTGCGTTTGCTACATTATTTAAACTTCTATATTCATATTCATCTTTTAGTGTTCATATGATTAGATTCAATCCCTGAAAATTAAAAATGAGTGTTATAAGATTTGAGAAATGTGGGGTGTATGTACAAAATATAAGATGTATATTGAGAATGTGGGGTGTGGGGGTATTATGGGAAAGTAAGTGGGGTGTATTAAGATAATTTTTAAGTGAAAAAGCAAATGTGGGGTGTATTAACTTTGTGGGATTTATTCAACAATTTGTGGAGTGTTAATATAATTAGCCAATTTTAAATCTGTTTTTTGTCAAACACATGGAAAGATCGAGATCTTTCATGCCATGATTCATCTGTAACTTGCAGAGAAATTCAACTGGAATTAGTATATACGGGTAGATGAAAAATGATGGTTTCTTATCATTTCCGGTGCCTAAAGACGATTGTCCTAAAACATTCACCTAAAAATATCACCATCAATCTGACAATCTTGAACATGTGTTAACCTGCAATATTGTATCTCTCCGACAGGTGGATTATTTCCCCTCCAAGAGGTGGATTATCTCAGCTCAAAAATTAGCAACCGACATGATTGTATAGTTGAGGTATCGTACATTAAACACCTTCAGAAATTAGCATAGCTAAATCATACGTAAATTGTCACTTAGTACTGCAATTTAGTTGTATTTCTTTTCACTGTGAGATGTCTTAGTTTTGCCAATGGTGAATTTAAACAGCATTATTGTTAGCCCATTATGAGGCTAAACCGACTCTCTTCCCCTTAGTTTAAACAATACCGTTTTTTTTTTTTAAAAGGTAAATTACATGAATGTCCTTGGATATGGAGCTATAGGAAAACTAATGAAAAGAGCTTGAAAACTTTGAGTTTTAATGATAAGGACAAAATAAAGGGTAAAGTGAATAGTATCAGGATTGACTTTGTAGTGTAAAAATATGGTTTTTCGTTAAAGTGAACAGTACCAGGTGCTTTTCGTTAAAGTTCCCTTTTATTTTTCCTCTCCTAATTTTTCATTCTAAATGATAGGTAGATTTCAAAACCAAATAACCTATAGTCTCTTAATACTACGGTCTAGTGACATTCCTCTTCATTTGTAAGTGAGAGGTAAGTTTGGTTCTCGCCAAATGGAAATTTGAACCACATTATTGCTAACCCATTATGAGGCTTAACCCACTCTCCCACCATGTTAGTGTAGATAATATAGCTTGTTAAAAAAATTAAAATTAAAAAACAAAAACAAAAAAACTAAGTTACCTAGAAATATTAGCATAAGATGACTGTCATTGCTGTGATTACAACAACCTTGCATAATACAAAATGCAAAATTTTATTGCACTCATAAACTCTCTACATCCAACTTAAACTTTATATATGAATTGTCTTTATTACCTATTGCATAATTACCATCAAGTACAAGATAAAATTAACAATAAAATTAAAATTTATCAATAAACCCACCCAATAATCAAACCCTATCATCACATCATACCTACCATCATGCAATCTTTAGCCTACATTCATTTTATCTAAAATCCTAAAACACTCTCATAGAAAGAGAAAAAAAGCAAACTCTTTTTGACCGATGGATGGTGAATTTGAAGTTTAAAATCCTCCAATTAAGATATGTCGATTTATGCAAGTTATTTTTCATTTGATTTCAATTTTTTTAAGGGTTTAGAAACAAAATCATTGGGTCAAGAATTCAGTGATGCCTATTTTCTAAAGAATGCATATTTTCTGCCTATGTATCGTTTGCCATTGAATATAATTATGTCTTTTGTCTTTATTTATTTATTTGTAGAACAAGAATTCGGTGATGCCTCTGATCGAGGCAATGAGGTTAGACAAGAATGTGTAACAAATTATACTGATCAAATTAAATTTACGAGGTAATCATTTATTTATAATGTTATTGATGTAACATCCCACATAACCCAGGGGAGTGGATCATGTAAGCCTTATATGTATATTCTCATCTCTACCTAACACAAGGCATTTTGGGAGCTCACTGGCTTCGAGTTCCATCGGAACTCCAAAGTTAAGCGAGTTCGCGCAAGAGCAATCTCATGATGAGTGACCAACTGGAAAGTTCTCATGTGAGTTCCCAGAAACAAAACCGTGAGGGCGTGGTCGGGGCCCAAAGCGGACAATATCGTGCTACGGCAGAGTCGAGCCTGGGATGTGGTGGGGGCCCGGGCTAGGATGTGACAATTCAGTATCAGAGTCAATCCCTAGCCGAAAGTGTGCCGACGAGGACGTCTGGCCCTTAAGGGGGTGGATTGTAACATCCCACGTCGCCCAGGGGAGTGGATCTTATAAGCCGTATATATATATTCCCATCTTTGCCTAGCACGAGGCTTTTTGGGAGCTCACTGGTTTCGGGTTCCATCGGAAATCCGAAGTTAAGCGACCCACTGGGAATTTCTCATGTGAGTTCCCAGAAACAAAACCATGAGGGCGTGTTCAGGGTCCAAAGCAGACAATATCGTGCTACGATGGAGTCGAGCCCGGGAAGTGGTGGGGGCCCGGGACAGGATGTGACAATTGACGTATTAGTTAATTTTGGAACTTTAATTCTAAATAAAATAGGTGTTACATGGAGATATTCAAAGGACAATATGCGTTGATTGGTTGGATCCTTGAACAAGGAAAGCTGAATAATGTAGTAATTGATTTTGAGTTTTTCTTTTCTACATGAGTGTAAAGATCAAATTTATATATTGAATTGGAGGGGCAACTTAGGTAGCAAATTTGAGTTTAAAATAGATGTAAAAGACGTTATATGAATTCAAATAAAATCTTCCATAAAAAATAACACTAAAATGTTTAGAATGTTGTATAGTTTCTATTAATGGGTGTCCATGCAATTTTCTAGAAAAATATAGGCCTAGTTTTGCTTACATGGCCTCCAAATGGTAATTTGTATCGGCTGTGTAAATTAAAGAATTTTTAATTTTACAGTAAAATCTCAATTTTCTACACACACTTGCAAATGGATAATGTATGGAGATCAAAATTTTCAAACAACCGCGTTAGTAGTCTTTGTGGCAATAATCTGTGTCCCTTGTTTGTTTACCATAAAAGATGTGTCGAACAGAAGAAAATGACTTTCAAATATATTAAAATAGTATAATTTAGTTTACAAAATTTGATTTAAAAATTTAGTGTTTCATTACTCTTTGCAAATATATTAAAAGAGAAGAAAATGACTTGCAAGTCAAACAACCGCGTTAGTAGTCTTTGTGGCAATAATCTTTGTCCTTTGTTTGTTTACCATAAAAGATGTGTCGAACAGAAATGTAATCGTAGTTCATTGAGCATGTTTTTCACAATTAAAAGTAGAGGTAAATAAAATGAAGTTTGTGATCAAAGAAAGGTCAAGGAAATAGTGTGAACATGCATGCAATTATTGGTGCCAAGGTCAGAAGTTCGCATTTGCAACCGCAGAAACGCATGTACACCATCTATCTAACATCCACCGCCCCTTGAAGAAATTTGCATAGCATGAGTATAACTACTTTTCTTCACAAAACGTATGACTTTATAAAATTTCAAAACAACTAACAAACATTGAGTAGAGTATGTGATAAAAGTCAACAAGAAGTTTTTTCTCAATAAACACGTTAAATTCTTTGAACATGTACAGTTACAAGGTCTTAAAAGGCTAGTTAAGTGGTAAACAAGAGCCTAGCGCTTAGGCATTTTTTTAATTCTGGTTAAGTTTATTATATAACATCTAGATTCATGTTTGCTTATCCTTAAAAAAAATATAATCGTATACGAAAGTTGCAAAATATAATTATTTATAAATTTTAAAGTACTAGAAAATATGAGGAACATGTATATAATGAGTATTTATCTAACAAGTCTCTTATTATTTATTAAGAAAATAAAAAATAAAAAACAAAAAATAAAAGTTATATATTTTCTCTTTTAAGTTAAAGTTGCAACCTTGGGGATGTCTAGACGGGTCAGGCCAGCCTAGGCAGGTTCAAGCATCCTTTTCTTTTAAGCCCTAAAAATTAATTGTAATGGTGACCTACCGTCTAGCTGTAGACAAATTTTTTTAAAACATTAGACAGTTATAAAATAGAAATAAACATATGTCACGATAGTCAAATCAGATCATACCAAACCAAATCAGATCATACCAAACCACATCATATAGGTAGGAAATTAAGTACTAGCTATGATTTTTCTAGTTTATACTTTTTCTCTCTAAACTTATACTTGGTTTTTCCAGGTCGGTCATGGAATTGACAAAAGAGGCATTAAGCAGCGGAAAAGTGATTAAGGTGTATGACTTTAAACTTTAAAGCATGATTCTGTCATCCACGGTTTTGTCGCTTCGCAATAATCAAGAAAGATTAAGCACGAAACGCAAACAATGTTGATGGAATGAACGGTTTTAAACTTTTGAAGTGATAAACCCTAAAAACAATCCCATGATACTCCACTTTTTGAAAGAAAAAAAAATATAGAAGCAATCCCCATGATATTTCTACTTTTTGAAAAAAAAAAATAGTGGTATTCCAGGAAAGAGAATGTTAAGGAACTTTTTTAGAAGTGAGATTTTTTATAAACTATCTAACATATTAGAGTTTACCATCAATTATCGTACTAACAATATATAATGTTATGTAAAAAATATGAGGATACAGAGAGCCCATAGAGAGTCCCATTTTTGTGAGTCTCCTTAACATTTCTCTTGAGAGAATGCTAAATGAGACACAACTTTTGTGTATGTAGATGAATGCCCTTAATAATTTCAATTGCAAACTGCAAATCCTTATAATTATAACTACTTTCAAAGTATTTTCAATGCTAAGATGCAAAAACTATATTTACATCGCATATTTCGTTTTTGGTAGATGTAAATGAGAATTTTACTTCAATGTGAGAGATATAAATTTGAAATTCTATTTAATTCTCTCAATGATTGGCGGGACCTACCTACCACCAAAAGATGTAAAAAACTGCAAAACTTTCAATTTTCATTTACCATTTTTCGGTCAGCAAAAACAATAAGAGAATTGTTATTGGCACTCCAAATTCTTCATTCTACACTCCAAACTTTCTATATTTAGAAAGAAAAATACACTTATGAGAAGTGTAAAATGAGATTTTTGAAGTGCCAATAACACTTCCCAAAAATAAAATACACTTAAGGCATTTTGCATCTCCTATTAGATATGCTCTAAGTAATCTATTTGAAGTGAAGGACTTGCATATATAGAAGGAGCAAAAAATTGGACATTGTTCGAGTCTCATAGCAACTCATGGGATTCAACTGTACAAAAGAATAGTGAATAAACTACTTAAACACATAGACCAACACACCCTAATTTAATCCCATAGTAAAAAGTTGATGTTAGAAACATGAAGGAAAATTGGAAAATGATAAATTCAAGGCTTTCTAGTGACTAGATCAAAAGTTTCAAACAGAGAAACCTTTTTTTCTTGTTGACAGTGAAAGAGTGAGAGAGAGTGAAGGGTGGGAAAATTGCAGAGAAACACACCGTGTTATGGAAAAGACCGAAAGAGATGGATTAGAATGTGAGAGAGAGAGAGAGAGATATTTAATTGAAGTTTACTTTCTTTATAAAAAAAAAAGAGTTAGAGGGGAGATAAAATTTGATTTCTTTCGATTTTCAAAGTTACAAATCCGTTCTATATGCATATCAGTGGCATTCCAAATCGATAATATACAATTTTGATTTGTCTTGAAAAATGCATTACGGTATTGATCCTAGCCGCCTCTAATATAAAGTCTCTCTCCCATTTTAAACTCTATACCAAATAAGAAGAAATTAAATTGACACCTTGGAAAACTTTCTTAGGAAAGGTCCCCGCACATGCGCCCGACCGTACCTCGAATGATGAGTGCTGGGCTTTGCCTGGGGACACCGTGGGAAACAAAAAAAAGAAAAAGAAAAAGAAATTAAATTGACAAAGTAGTAGAAAAAAACAAAAAAGGAAAGTCTGAAGTTTTTGTTTTTACTTTTGTTTTTCTGCGGCCATGTGCCCATGAATCAATCTTCACACTGGTCAAGACTCAAAACGTGCAATAAATCGCGTTGGTGGCAGAGACACGAGGACTTTGGTCTTCTCGGTCCTTTGCAAGTGGGAAGACCAACAAAAGGGCCCATGATGTCAATCTACTAACGCCCCAATCCACGCCAGCCCAAAGACTTAAGTGAAAAGTCAAATTATAAATTGGTCTTTCCATTTTTGTTTGTTTTGGCAATTGAAGTGGAACATTATTCCCAATTTATTTGGAATTACTCATAAAATGGTTGGTCTTTCCATTTTTGTTTGTTTTGGCAATTGAAGTGGAACATTCTTCCCAATTCATTTGGAAGAACTCATAAAATGGTTGACAATGTTTTTGGTTAAAATGTTTGTGAAATCAATCTTTAGTAAAATGACACGTGAATCATGGAAAAACACCTTATTGCTTCATGCAAGAAGCGCATAATTAATGCTTCTTGCATAATACACTTTTAAGTATTTTTGGAACGCAAAAACCTTTTCTCTAAAAGCAATTTTAGTCATTTTAAAAATAGTTCCAGACAAGCCCTAATTGGTTTCACATCTATTGCACGATTTGTTTTCAACTTTTTTATACAACGATACATGTGAAAATGGAGCTACGCTTCAAAATGACCTATTAATAACTTGATACTAAACTCGTCCTTCATAAAGATACCTCCCACTTACAAAAAAAGAGGAATACCACCACATTGTGGTGTTCGTGGCCTCATTGTTTCTCGACTTCAAAATTGTATAAATCAAAGATGAACCAAATGACACAAACAAGAGGTAAGAGTGCAGAAGGAGAAACGAGCGTGAAATCACTTACTAAAGATCAATATCACAGGTAAATAATATTGAATTGCAAATGCAATTTCCAAGATTAGACGATCACATACACAAACAATCCCACATTAACAAAGAAACTAACGTCCTTGCCAAATCAAGTAAAAGGCAAAACCGATCAAGATACCTTCCAACAACGTATACAGATTGATTGAAGAAAGGGTCTTTGAACATACATATATATAGTGATCACATCTACAAAGTGGGAAAGGCTACGTTCCTTTCCCGTTCGCATGCATTATCACACTTCTTGCAATTGTTTAACTTATATTACATCAATGGTGACCGCAACAATTACCAGTCAGTAGATAAGAACCTAGGCTTTTCGAGTGCTAATCACCACTCATCTTCGAGACTAGCACGGTGGAAACACATGACAGTACAGATAAATATGAAGAATGAAAAGAATTCAATCCACATTGCAGGTGTCTCAATCATATGAGCGTGCCTAAGAATGATAGGAATGGCTATGCTCCCAACAGTGGATGCCCCAGTCAAGAATTTAGCAGCATTTATCCACCTGCAATACAAAGAAAACAAGAAACAAACAAATATGATAAATAACTTAAGATTATCACCCAAAAATAAAGAGAAAAACAAGGAGGGTAGAGATTCTTTCTAAGGGCAGTTTACCAGTGACACAAGTTACATGGGCTATTGGTTATAGCTTACTTGGAGGGTAAACATCACTACTTACATTAATAATTACTTACTGCTGTGTTAAAAGGACAGTTAAGGTGGTTTGGACATGTGAAATGAAGACCTACAAATGCTCCGATTAGAAAATGTGATTATGAACCTACAAATGCTTCGGTTAGAAAATGTGATTATGAGACAAATGCACGGGGGAAAAAGGTAAAGGAAGACCTAGGAAGACATGAATAGAGACTTTAAGAAAAGACACGGAGTACTTGGAGCTAACAGAAGACTTGGCGCAAAACTAAGCACAACGGCATTCTAGGACTCATGCAACCGACCACACTTAGTGGGATAAGGCTTTGTTGTTGTGGTGGTGGTGTGTTAAAAGGATTGATCTTTTTAAATTGGCCCTCCCTTTCAGCAATATTTCAATGTGTACTTTTATGCTTTGTTCTACTCTATCTATAAACCCAATTTCTAGAATGAACTATATTTCCCTCAGATTTCTAGAATGAGCTATCCTTGCCTTTATCTTCATGAATCATCCACACATGGCAATAGGTCGTACCCAGTGCACAAGGCTCCCGCTTTACGCAGGGTCTGGGAGAGGAGAATGTCGGCTAGCCTTACCTGGTTCGATCTAGTTGTGAGTTCCACCACACAGGCACACAAATAAATTGGTCCACGACACACTAGTATCATGGCACACAAGTATCATGGCACAACTAGTATAATGGCACACAAGTATCATGGCATTATAAAAATACCATGCACTATCTATAAGTTAAACAATGTTATAAATACAGGGTATATTAGATATGAGGGTTACATTAAGGAAGAAACTTTTGTTACGTAAGATCTCAAAAAGACTCACCCATCGCTTTCCCTAGTAAGCAAAAACTGAGTAGAACCGCCACCAAAGAATAAGCAAGGCATGGGTACCACGACGTACATCAGAGCTACAAAAATAATCAAAATTCACATCACTTGATACTCAAAGAAACATAACTACCAAGTAGAATAAACAGCTTATATTACTTATATTACTCTCACCAGATAAACTCCGCCTATGTCTTACATGGCCGGTCCCAAGCCCGGATAAAGGAGGAGGGGGAGGGCGTCAGGTAGTATCTTGCAAAAGAACGGAGAATTAGATGGAGATCTCAACCATAGAATACAAGCTGGATGGATGAAGTGGAAGAGTGCATCCGGCGTGTTGTGTGACCGCCGTATGCCATTGAAGCTCAAGGGAAAATTTTATAGGACGGCAATAAGGCCGGCGATGCTGTATGGCACAGAATGTTGGGCGGTGAAACATCAACACGTACACAAAATGGGTGTAGCGGAGATGAGGATGCTTCGTTGGATGTGTGGGCACACGAGAAAGGATAAGATTAGGAATGAGGATATCCGGGGTAAAGTAGGAGTAGCCGAAATTGAAGGAAAGATGAGAGAAAATCGGTTACGGTGGTTTGGACATGTGCAAAGAAGGCCTACTGACGCTCCGATTAGAAGATGCGACTATGGGACAGAGGTTCAGGGCCGAAGGGGTAGAGGAAGACCTAGGAAAACTTTGGAAGAGACTCTAAGAAAAGACTTAGAGTACTTGGATCTAACGAAGGACATGACACAGGATCGAGCAAAATGGCGTTCTAAGATTCATATAGCCGATCCCACTCAGTGACTTGGATTTTCCAAGTCTCTAACCGAGAAGTTTTCCTCACTCGGGAAATTAAGGGAACACTACCCCAACCTACATGCTCCACTCAGAAAGCTTCAACATACAAGCTTCAACAAAAGAAAATTCAAAGAACTTAGCGAAGAAGGCTTTGGTGTATTTTAACACAATACGTTGAAATGAAGGAAAGCTTATTTATTGATATCCCCGATCAGCTACAAATATGTACATATACATGAGTCAAAATAAACACACAAGACGGAGCCTTCACAAAGGTTGCTTAGGAGAAGTCTCAGCAGTCGGTAGAGCCCCAGAAAGAGAAGGCACCGGAGGGGGATCATTTAGAGCCTCAGTACTGGACAAAACCCTAGAAGGAGGAGGCATCAGAGGTTGATCATTCGGAGCTTCATTACGCGGTACAGCCCCAGAAGACGAAGGCAATAAATGCCTTTGGAACAAACCCACAAATCTCTGATGATCAAGTAAAACCTGACCATCAGTTTCCTTCATCTGGTCAAGCTTCCTCTTCATGTTTGTAGCATAGTCATGTGCGAGCCGGTGCAACTGTTTATTCTCATGCTTGAGCCCTCTAATCTCCTGTTTGAGACTCATCACTTCAGCCGCCAAGGATTCAACTTGGCGGGTTCGAGCAAAATAGGCGTTGGGCCATATTAGACACACAGAACCTGCACACTGAACACTGAGAGAGCCAGCGAATCCTTAACAGCTAACTCATCAGACCGTTTGGAAAGTAGTCTGTTATCTTTGGGAGTGAGAAGGTTCCTGGCCACCACCGCAGCGGTCATATCATTCTTCATCACGGAATCCCCAACAGTAAGAGGACCAGTAGGGGAGACGAAGGATGGGCGCCATATGTTGTCTGGAGAAGGCGGGGCTGCCTCTTCAACAAGGTTCAAGTCAAAACGACGGTCGGAGGGGCCAGACATTTTCAAAGGTGTTGAAGAGAGAAGAGGTCGGACAAATCAAGATCTTAGAAGTGCAAGAATGAAGCTTCTACTGGTGGAGATTCAAGTGTGCTTTGGAACTTAATGTCAGCCTCTATAAAAATCTGCACTCGACGGAGCTTCAGAAATCGAAGAGGCGCCTGCTCAGAAATCGAAGAGGCGTTTGCTTTCTCAAAAGCTGGGCTGCTTAGAGATCACGAGGGTTGATCTCAGAAATCGAAGAGGCATTTGCTTTCTCAAAAGTTGGGCTGCTCAAAGACCACGAAGGCCGATCTCAGAAATCGAAGAGGCGCTCGCTTTCTCAAAAGTTGGGCTCCCTAGAGACCACGAGGGCCGATCTCAGAAATCGAAGAGGCACCTACTTTTCCAGCCTTGTCAGCACCCGTCACACGCACACTCAGCTTTGCAGAAATTATGGGCATTCTGTCGAAGACTTCTGGGGAAGTAGAAAACACATGAATCTTACTGTTCAATCACCCACTTCCCACACGCAACACAATAGCTCATGGGTACCACAGATAACTTTGCCAAAGTTCTCTGCCAAAGTTGAGCACGTGAAGCTTGCAGCTCCCACTACATCGCTCTGACCAAGAAGGGTAAAAGAATAGCAAAGAAACAGCACTAACAAAGTTTAGACCCATAAATTTTGAAGGTCTAGCTACCATATTATTACCCACAAGGGTAAAGGAACAGTACCACTGCTGGATAATTGGAAAGTCCCTGTGTGTCAACCTCTGTGCTTCGTGGCAAGGTAGACTAGCAAACATGCCCAACCTTTACTCACATTCGAGAAAACACTCCCAATAAGATTGCTTGCTCCAAAATCGAAGAGGCACCGTCCTCCGAATCTCGAGAGCCAGACTCCCAACATGACTACTTTCTTAAAAATCGAAGAGAGGGTAAAGGAACAGTACCATTGCTGGATAATTGGAAAGTCTCTGTGTGTCAACCTTGTGCTTCGTGGCAAGGTAGACTAGCAAACATGCCCAACCTTTACTCACATTCGAGAAAACACTCCCAACAAGATTGCTTGCTCCAAAATCGAAGAGGCACCGCCCTTCGAATCTCGAGAGCCAGACTCCCAACGTGATTACTTTCTCAAAAATCGAAGAGACACTGCTCCTCGAATCTTCGAAGAGCCAGACCCCCAGCATGATTGCTTTCTCAAAAATCGATGAGGCATCGTTCTCCGAATCAATCGAAGAGGCGCTCGCTTTCTCAAAAGCTGGGCTGCTCAGAGACCACGAGGGCCGATCTCAGAAATCGAAGAGGCACCTACTTTTCTAGCCTTGTCAGCACCTGTCACACGCACACTCAGCTTTGCAGAAATTATGGGCATTCTGTCGAAGACTTCTGGTGAAGTAGAAAGCACATGAATCTTACTGTTCAATCACCCACTTCCCACACGCAACAATAGCTCATGGGTACCACAGATAACTTTGCCAAAGTTCTCTGCCAAAGTTGAGCACGTGAAGCTTGCAGCTCCCACTACATCGCTCTGACCAAGAAAGGTAAAAGAATAGCAAAGAAACAGCACTAACAAAGTTTAGACACATAAATGTTGAAGGTCTAGCTACCATATTATTACCCACAAGGGTAAAGGAACAGTACCACTGCTGGATAATTGGAAAGTCCTTGTGTGTCAACCTCTGTGCTTCGTGGCAAGGTAGACTAGCAAACATGCCCAACCTTTACTCACTTTCGAGAAAACACTCCCAACAAGATTGCTTGCTCCAAAATCGAAGAGGCACCGTCCTCTGAATCTCGAGAGCCAGACTCCCAACATGACTACTTTCTCAAAAGCGAAGAGAGGGTAAAGGAACAGTACCATTGCAACTGGCAGCTCCCACTACCGTGCTATGACCAAGCAGGGTAAAGGAATAGCATTACTACTTGTTGTTAGGGAGACTCCTATATATGTCGACCTCCATCCCCAACGGACAGGCAGACCTGCAAAAATGCTCAACCCTTCATCATATCTGAGAGAGGGCACTCCCAACGAAGCCTTTCGAAATATTCAGCTTTCTTTCCCCCCGATAATACCTCTGCAAACAAGCTATACTAGAGCAAGAATATCTCATATCATCAGGGTTAAAAGCAAGAGTATCCTCATATCATGCTTTTTTTCCCTGTCTTTTCCTTTGGCCTTGTTTTTACCTGCAAGACAAGGAGAAAGAGAGCAATCAGTCAGCACTTGGAATCAAGCTTCCAGCCAGGAACTGACTGCCTGGAACCCCTTACCTGATTACTTACCTGGCATTGCTCTCGAGTACTCATCTTCAACATCTTATGTTTCCAGGGAAGATTACCTGCATCTGCCTTGAGGAACAGATAGGGCAAGTGCGAAGGATACAAGGAAGCATGTGGAGACAAGCGTAACAGCACACGTGCCGATACATCCATTACTCTGTCAAAAGCAAAAGTATCCCATATCAGCAGGGTGGAACGTACTCTAGATTTGATGGACTTGTTTTGACCCTCAAATTCTTCAGTCGGCCTTATACTCTGGAGGAAACCAGAAAACCCTCCAGCTCAGTTCAAGAATAAGCCTGTGGAAAGTTACTTCTTCAAAAGCAAAAGTATCTCATATCATCTCTTCTCATTTTTCTTCTCTTTATCCTTCATGCTGCTGCAAGATGGGGGAGAAGGTGAACAATCAGTCGGAGCTCTGATTGCTTACCTTGTCTGTCACCTCTTTCAGCAGACCCCCTAGCTCGGCGACTTGGGGGACTCCTACTACATGGTTTGTATCGCGCTTGACCAAGCCTGAAGACTACAAGTAAGCTTCAAGTGAAATTGATACATTACCTTGTGCATCTCCACCAGTTAAAGATACCACCCCTGGATGGAGGAAGAGTACTTTCAGAGAAGATGCCACATCTACCTATGAGACAGATAAGGCAAGTCAAGACGACACCACACTCCGATACTTAGAAGTTTTCGTGATTACGAGATCATTCTCCCACAATATTTCCTAATGTCATTTGTACAAAATCATTCACTTGTACTCACTAAAGGAGAGCTTGAACCTATGTACTTGTGTAAACCCTTCACAATTAATGAGAACTCTTCTATTCTGTGGACGTAGCCAATCTGGGTGAACCACGTACATCTTGTGTTTGCTTTCCTATCTCTATCCATTTATATACTTATCCACACTAATGACCGGAGCAATCTAGCGAAGATCACAAAAAGCGACCGTTTTCGCTACCTAGGATCTATCTTGCAAGAGAACGGAGAATTAGATGGAGATCTCAACCATAGAATACGAGCTGGATGGATGAAGTGTAAGAGTGCATCCGGCGTGTTGTGTGACCGTCGTAGGCCACTGAAGCTCAAGGGAAAATTTTATAGGACGGCAATAAGGCCAGCGATGTTGTATGGCACAGAATGTTGGGCGGTGAAGCATCAACACGTACACAAAATGGGTGTAGCGGAGATGAGGATGCTTCGTGGGATGTGTGGGCACACGAGAAAGGATAAGATTGGGAATGAGGATATCCGAGGTAAAGTAGGAGTAGCCGAAATTGTAGGAAAGATGAGAGAAAATCGGCTCCGATGATTTGGACATGTGCAAAGAAAGCCGACTGACGCTCCGGTTCGAAGATGTGACTACGGGACAGAGGTTCAGGGCCAAAGGGGTAGAGGAAGACCTAGGAAAACTTTGGAAGAGACTCTAAGAAAAGACTTAGAGTACTTGGATCTAACGGAGGACATGACACAAAACCGAGCGCAATGGCGTTCTAGGATTCATATAGCCGACCCCACTTAGTGGGAAAAGGCTTTGTTGTTGTTGTTGTTGTTGTTGTACTCTCACCAGATAACATAGGCCACCAATTGTTGTACAATGCACAAGCCTGCCACACATTAAAGGAAATAATCATAATAACAAACAGTAAATGAGTAAGCATATAATACACTTGAGATCCAATTGGCAGTTAAATTCAAAACCTTTCCCTCCCTTAATCTGGTGATATATCACCATTATTGTCGGTAGAGCAAGTGATACAATAGCCCTTTTCAGAAGGAAGGGCAACTTCAACAACACCGTGCCACTAGGGTTCTATAACTTTTTCATGGTAACAAGCTACATGGCCATCTATATCAACAAAAGAAGAGAAAGAAAATCTAATCCACACAAGAATTATTGATTGCTGTAATAAAACATCAATGCACAAATGGCCTCTTACTACTTCAACATCAGTAAACAAACCGAGGAACCAATCTACAAAATCCTTCCAACTCCAATGTGAGCAGGTAACATGAAGAATACTCATCAATCTGCTTTCTGTTCCTAACTTTCTTCCAGGGAATTATTCCAGATTCTAGCTTAACTTTTCTTCGAAAGAGGGTTACTAAAAAATGTGAACAGTGATATGCCAACTGCTTAATGACCCACATTAGAAGAGAAGTTGAGCTAAGAAAAAGCACACCGCTACTGAATTCAAAAAGTATGATGATTGATGAAGATAAAAGCGTGCGTGTGTGAGTGTGGGCCTTATTCTTGATACAAACAGCATATTTTTAAGGGAGAGTATGCATGACATAATAGAATACTAGGTTATAACTGCAATTGGACAGACACATATACCTGTAGGCCTTGGAGTACAAGGCAAACACCTCTCAAGATAATTTAGAGCATTTAACAACCACAAGCTCACAACCAGTCAAGCCATTAAAAAATAAATAAAAATATAAATAAAAGAAAAATACCAGGATTTGTAACAAGATGCTTGCTGAAAACATAAAAGCAAGTCCTGCAAGCCTGTACACCAAGAAATTTACTTCAGAAATGTGTTTACTAGCTTCATTAACAAAGATAAATTCACATAACTAGATTCCTACTTACACTGCAAAGAACACGAACCATCAGCAATACGGGGAGGAACAATGCCCAAAACAGAAAAGTGTTAGGACTCAATCCCATCAAAGCATGACTGAAAACTGAACCAAAAACACAATTGCACGACACATATACTCGAAGGACATCATGCTCGTAGCATATGAGAAGTCGAGCAACGCACCGCTTCAAATTTTGTCAACTAAATCCCCTAATTTTCATATGGTGATCATGATCGAAATCCAAGCTCCCCAGTTAACGCTTCCACATTAATAAGTTAAAGCAAAATTCTAATCGATACTAGTAACCACTTCTGATAAGATATCAAATATTCAAGTGAGAAAAATTCACGGAATTGAAGAATCTTAACAATCATAAAACGTCTAATTAAAAAGAGAGGAACTCAAAATTTGGTGTTTTCGGATCATAAAATGTGATCAAATATATGAAACCCTAATTAATTCGAGCACAATTCCAGAATGCTCAGCTCCAGCCCACTCGATTACAGTTCTCCAAATTTTAGGGGGAATTGGATTGGACCAATAAAAAGAAATAAAGAAGTAAAATTTCAACATTATTCAACGAAATTGTGCATAACTGTCGTCGTCCAGCCAAAAACAAAATTATTGTAAATAATCGTGGAAAAAAAAAATTAACAGAGTGGGCTAAGAACCGTACCCTCAATGGTCATCGCCATCGAAGAGATGAGGGGTTAGTGACGGAAGAAGCTTCGTGTTCGTGAATCGCAACCAAAGAAGCAAAACGATGAGCTCGACAATTTGCAGAGTTGAAGGCTCGGTCTTCAATTGGTCTGCGGTTTCAGGCCCAAAAATACAATAAAAATTAGGGTGTAATATCCACGCACCCATTTTTACTTCTCTCACACAATTTTAATTTTCGGTCGTCGGATCAAATGAATTAAAGAAAATCAAATTATAGAAATTAACAAGGGGTGTGAGAGAAGTAAAAAAGAGTGTGTGGATAGCATACCCCTAAAAATTAAAGAAATGGAATCTTTGTACCTTTTGCCGGGTAAAGTTTAGCGGCAGTAAGATCCATTGACAATGTAGAATAGCACAAAGGATGGATAGTTATTCAGATGCCAAACTTAAATATCAAGGATTAAAATTACGTCTTAATTAAAAATATGTTGTCTGATTAAATATTACAAGGCTTAAAATAAAATGTCGTATAAATATCATTTATCTCATTTACAACTTGGTTAATAATTTTAATATCGGTGGATGGTATGGTTTGTGAAATTTTACTTTTTATTTTTTGTTTTTTTTGTTCCCAGGATCTCACTTTTGAATAGTTTTCACTTTTATTTCAATTTTTTTTTTTCAATCATTCATCTCATTCCACATCTCTTAATTCTTTACTCAACTTTTTTAATTTTAACACATAAATAACATGTAACATCATTCTAGTTTATATATAATTTAAGAAATATATTTTAATTCAATATACTTCAAGCATCATTTTGTTGCATACACCTAGAACTAGACCTGGCATTTTACACTCGACCTATTAACCCGACCTGTTAAAATTAGTATTCGGGTGAGTATTTAACGGGTCAACCCGTTAAGTAACAGGTCATTTTGGGTCAACCCGCGAAACCCGTTAGTACCCGTTAATACACATTATTGAGGGCTTTTGTGTAATTTCAATAGTTATAATAAGAAGCCCTCAAATTCAAAGCCTATCTTTGCCACTTCAAGGAGGTCGCCGATATGCTCCAGGACTACATTCTCGGCTCAAAATGGCAACAGACGACTCTTCCTACTCCTCCGGTGGTTCTGACACTTCGTATCAGCCGCTTTCTCGAGAGCAAGTCAAGCTTCTCTCCTCCAACAACAGCAACCCGTCCTCTGGCTTGTCAGATCGGGATCCTTCCTTCAAGTGCTTCTCTGTCTCGGATTTGAAGAAGAAGGTCATGGCACACCTTTGTCAAACGACAAAAAGGATGGATAATGGAGGTAACTGTCAAAATGGATTGATTCCATTGGTTTTGCATATTAGCATTATGTGCTGGATTTTTGAAATGGATGGATATTTGAATTGGAATGAAAAATTAAACAAAAAAAAAAAAATTGTTAATGGGTGTTAAGGGGTGAAACGGGTGATCAATGAGTTTAACAAGTTGGGTTCGGATGACCCGTTAACTTAACGGATTGGGTAAAATTCGACTCAAACCCAATAAACCTGACTCGTTTACAAGTCTACCTAGAACATTCTTTAACGATCAACAATACCATCTAGTGATCGGCTATGATGTCCATTAATTTCCTGATTGTGTTGCTGAACTCAAGTGTTCCTACATATAAAGTTACTACAATCATGTATTGCAATTGCACTTATATATCTCTATAAACATTTATTATAATTGTAAACTCTTAACACTTTTATATCATAATACATACTACATATTTTAACACACTTAAATAATTTATCAACAATATTAAATTTTGATAAATAATAATCAAATGTCACACATGAGAGTTACACTTGTGAATTACTATTGCATATGATGCAATACCATTCAATTTTGTTTCCTAAATACCATTCAATTTTTTTTTATAACTATTTTGGGGGATTTGAGTCTTGTAATTATTATTGTTTTTAAGTGTTGAACACAGTATATATATGCAAAGTATGCATGAGATGATAAATTTAATAATAGGTGTTAGTGGTCTTTGTTTTGGTCAAGTACAACTTTATGATGATTTTGTCCTTATAAGCTCAAGTGATTACTTGGGATGTTTGTGTTTCAAGTTGAATCTATAAACCTAAAATCTCAGAAAAAATTAATACAAAGTTTGTGCTCATATGTTGTCTATTTGACATCAATGAGGGGTTTATAAGTTATTAAACTAAAAATTGTTTATCAATGCCAAGCTGATCCAAAGTCCAGGTGAATATCGTCTAGTGCCTTGAGTTTTTTTTTTAAGGAAAACTAATGAAAAGAGTTTGAAAACTTTAAGTTTTAACGATAAAGACAAAGTAAAGTAAATAATACCATGATTGACTTTTTAGTGTAAAAATGTGATTTTTCGTTAAAGTTAACAGTACCAAGAGCTTTTCGTTAAAGTTCCATTTTTCTTAATACCTGATGAATTAATAATCTCAATTAACTAATCTTTTTTCATCAATCCTGATTTGAAATTAACAATTAATAAAATTATAAGATAATACATTACAAAAAATTCATATAAATCTCACGTAATATATAAATTAATAATTTCCTATTACTATGGCTTTTTTTTTATTTAAATAGTGTTTTGTTTGATTAAATGATAGTACATTCAACAACGTACTATCTATTTTTGGAAAAAAAATAAGTGGATTCAAGAATTTTATTAAGTTAAGCAGATACATGAAATTGCAAGTTCGCAAAATGAAAAATTAAATACAATGTACAATATTAAGAAAATAAGGAATGCCATGATAAATTAATCATAAATTAATAATTGTTAATAAATTATTATTTTATCGACTATTTAATATTCGCTAAATTAATTTTTCTTGTCTCAATGCTATTAATTTATAGAGATTCAATTGTATGTCATATGCAGTACTATGATTTAGTGATATTCTTTTTCACTGATAAGTGAGAAGTTTTAGATTCGATTATTGCCAAATACGAATTTGAACCATATTATTGCTAACTCATTGTGAGTCTTAGCCTACTCCCCCCACCTTTTAATGTATATAATATCGTTTATTCAAACAAAAAAATGTATGTCATACAATATGAGAAAATATATTTTTATTCTTACAATACTCATCTCAGAATGACATGATCACGTATATATGCCGGTAACACGACAAATATACTCGTAGTCATGACACTTACATTTGGGATTCATCGTCCAGTCAACTCCCTAATCCCTTTTCTCTTAATTACAAAACTCTACATCTAGCACATGGAATTGCAAGTGATACCCTAAATATTAATTTCCATAAATATTCTAATTAAACCTTCAAGAGCTGGAACTTGTTCAAAAAGCCAATACCGATCCCGTTCAACTCTACAGCAGACCAACGCACTTGATTAATCTGAGCCGTCGTTCCATACCACATCTCCGGCTCCATATCGCCGCCACTGTCCGATTGAAATCCAGGCCTCACCACATCCCAAATCATAGCCCTTGAATCATCACTTACTGAACAAATCTGGTGTCCCTTCCCTGGAGACCATGAAATTGCATTCACACTGGCACCATGTTTTTTGAGCTCCATTAGAGGTGATGTGGGAAATCTGATGTCCACTATTACCACTTTGTTGCTGTCCATTCCAACTGTGGCAATGAATCTTGGGTCATGCTTGTTCCATTCTACCCTCAACAAAGATCTGTCTTGAGTAGGGTTTTCATAAACTATGGTAGACCTGTTGAAAAATTTGTGATCTATATTAATGTTTAAAAAATAATTAATACAACTAAGTTTAATGCAAATATAAATTAAGAAAATATGCCTTGGGTCACAAGACACATGAAGCACAAGTATGTTACCAAATGCTAGAGGATTGTATGATGGCTAGCTAGTAATTATGGATGATTGTACGCTTTTGAAGTGTCAATTGCAGCTCTAATAAGAAGTTGCATTAAAAAAAAAAGAAATTAAAAAGTGAATTAACTCATACCTCTCTTTGTTTCTCAAATCAAACACCCTGACAGTGCCATCACCAGAAGCTGAAGCAAACACATTGAAGCCACCCCAAGAAATGTCATACACTTCTTTATCATGAGCCACCAGTTGAGTATCCACAGCTTCCCTCTCAATGTCCCAAATTGTGCAGGTAGTGTCCACACTAGAAGTAGCCACACGCCTAGTGTCACACTCTACCCAATCAAAAGATGTTATAGCCGAATTAAACTCACTACTCCTGTTGCTATTCAGCAAAGACTTGAGCTCAATCCTATCATCATGGATCTCCCACAACCTTAAGTAGTCGCCGGACGTGGCGATTAGATCAGGATTCGTGGTGTCCTCGGAGGGGAAGAACATGAGGTTGGTTGGTGCGTAAGGGTGGTCGAAAGTGAGGCGGTTATCGGTGGCGAAATCGGATGTGTCTTGGTTGAACTGGACTAATTCAACCTTGTTGCCGTAGTCCTCAATGAAGCTGCCTATGGCTAGGCGTGAAGGCTTGTCATGGCGGACTGACCATGCTAAGGAGTAGATTGGCCATTGGCTTATGTAGGTGTGGACGCCTGCTTTTTTCTCTGCTGGTCTTTGCATGCTTGGAATTGAAATTTGTTTTTTATTTCTCTATAGCTGCATGGGAAGTAAATCTAAATTTTAGAGGGTCAATTAAAGTCGAATATTGAACAACTTTTTAATTTATTTGAAGCCCTCAATGCATTTTAAAGTTTTGGATTATTGTCACGCTCTTGCTTGACAAAGCCAAGAAAGCTGCCAATTTGCCAATGTCTAGTTTTACTTCTAAATGATCCAACTTTAACCTAGTATAGTAGAAGCAGACTAAATTAATATTCTCAATGCTCTTAGATTTAATACTACTTTCTATTAATGTGTTATTATGCTCACCCCATAGTCTTATTTATGTACGGATTTTATATTTTCACCCACATAAAAAGTTAAAAAAAATCAAACACTCTTCCCCACCCACTTATATTCCTAAAATATCCTTAAC